TACTTGGACATGCTTGTAGCAATGTGCAGGCACATGTATGTGTACATGTGTGTGTGTGCAGGGGTTTGTGCACAGGCATGTGTATACATGGGTGTATGCATGTACACCGATGGGTGTGTGCGTGTGTGAGCCCTTTTCCCTTTAGGAAAGCTGGCGTGGGGGTGACAGGGTGGGATGGGATGGGATGGGATGGGATGGGATGGGATGGGATGGGATGGGGGAGTTAGGGTGGATGCAGATTTGGCTGAGCTGTGGGAAGTGCTTCTGTGAGTGGTTTCCCTGCTGCATTTTCCTTGTGAAGTCCCAAGGGGCTTAAGACAGAGCCCCCTGCCTGGCTTGGCACAGCTCGGCACAGCTTGGCACAGCTCAGCATGGTTTGGCATGGCTTGGCATGGCTCACACAGCTCAGCTGGAGGTGGGAGGCCAGGGCTGGGGCCCCAGTGCCGGCAGCTGCTGCACATCCGTGGCGTCCCGCTGGCTCGCAGCTGTGCGGAAGGAAGTGGGACCCAAAACAGCCTGGGCTCAGAGCCAGCGGCCCCAAGCCACATCCCCACGGAGGGGGCACATCGCTCGCACCCCTGCCTAATGCACCCAGTGTTCAGCACTGGGCTCATGGTGTCCGTGTGCAGCCCCCTCCCCATCAGTGGAAACATGTGTAAAAGCCCCCACTGCCTGAAAGCAGGGGTGAGGACACAGTGCCCAGGACAGGGTCCAGGGATGGGGGTGACCACCTGGCAAGGGTGGCCTGGTGCAAACCCCTCAGGGGTGTGGTAGAGCCGTGTTCTGACCCCCCACCCTCCTCTCCCCCCCAGGCAATGGAGAGCAAGCTGCTCATCGGCGGCAGGACCATCGTGGACCACACTAATGAGCAGCAGAAGATGCTGGAGCTGAAGCGACAGGAGATAGCTGAGCAGGTAACAGCACTGGGGCCTGCAGGTGATGGGGGTGTCCTGGGGGCCGGTTCCCCCTCCTGACTCTGAGTGTTTCCCCCATGCTGCAGAAACGCCGGGAGCGGGAGATGCAGCAGGAGATGCTGCTGCGGGATGAGGAGACCATGGAGCTGCGGGAGACTTACACCTCCCTGCAGCAGGAGGTGGAGATCAAAACCAAGAAGCTGAAGAAGGTGAGAGTGTGGTTGTTGGGGACGATCATCCCTCCAACCACCAGAGCCCTGGGGCTCACTGCAGGCCCCAGGCTGTGGGGCTGATGGTCTGTTCCTCTCCTCAGCTGTATGCCAAGCTGCAGGCCGTGAAGGCGGAGATCCAGGACCAGCACGATGAGTATATCCGTGTGCGGCAGGACCTGGAGGAGGCACAGAATGAGCAGACACGGGAGCTGAAGCTCAAGTAGGTGGTTGTGTGTCCCCTGCAGCCATGCAGGTCAGAATTGGGGTGCAGAGCACAAAGCTGGGTGCTCAGGGCAGAGCTGGGGTACGCAGAACAAAGCTTAGTTATGTAGAGCAGAGCTGGGGTGCGTGGAGCAGAGCTGGGGTGCACAGAGCAGAAGTGGGTTATGCAGAACAAACCTGGAGTGCACAGAGCAGAGCTGGGGTGTGCAGCTGGGGAGAGCAATACGCCTGCTGACAGGGACATGTGAGCACTTCCTACCCCATCAGCAGTGGCAGAAGGTGTAAAACATATTTACACCTCTTGAGCTGGGTGAGTCACATGCAAGAGTATTAAAAACTTGCTGAGAAAGGTGGGAAACCACAAAATACAGAAGCAGAAACGCCAGTACAGCTGCAGCGTGGGCTGTGGGTGAGTTATGGGACCTGACAGTGGTAGCTGGAGGTGGGTGCCCCCTGCGGGCAGCTGGAGACTGCTCCAGCCCCAGCACAGTCCTCATTGGAAGAGCAGCTCAGGGGACCTTGGGGTGAGCCCCTGACCTGCGGGAGCTTCTGGCACAACGGTGGCAAAGCCATATTCCCTCCAGGAGCCTCCAGTGGGAGATGCAGATGCTGGTCTGCTGCCCTCAGTGGGTGTGTTTTCACTTCAGCAGTAACTCTTCAGTGTCTTCACAAAACCCCACCCAGCCGTATATCTTAAGCATCTTCAAGATAAGATATTTATCCTTTTACTAGAAACAAACTTTCAGCTCAGATTTTGCTGCCTTTCTCTTCAGACATGACTCAAACTTTTTAAAAGCTGGGAACTCAATGGAGCAACTCAGCAGTGCAAGACAGCTTTCTGTAGTTGCTTGATTTGCCCCCCAAAGTATGGAAAAAACGATTCCCCTGGGGTTCATTTTGCATCACTGAGCTTTCCTTTATCATCTGGTCAGGCAGCAAGGAGCAGACGGGGGTTCCTGCTGGAGGAAGTCTTGCACAGCTGCCTATGTCTTCTTTCCTCTCTGATGACTGTCTTCCTCTGCCCCCACTTTCCTGCCTGTCTTACCTCTCTGTCCTATTGCCTCACCCTTTAAATTGCTATCCTGTTTCCATCTTCTGTATGTTTTCTTATTTCCCTGTGCTGTCTCCCTGACATCCCTTTCCTCTCCCTTTCTGACCTGTTTTTGGTCACTTGTCACATTAACTCCTTCCTATCCTACTCCTTCCCCATCTTTGCTCTCGTTCTGTCTCTTGGCCGGTCACTCAGGTACTTGATCATCGAGAACTTCATCCCACCAGAAGAGAAGAACAAGATCATGAACCGCCTGTACTTTGATGGTGATGAAGACCAGTGGAAGTTCCAGCCACTTGTGCCCACCGGAGGGTACGTTCCTGTTCCTGTCCCTGACCCACGGGCTGCCTCCTGCAGGCACGAGGCCTCTCACCATTTGGATAGGTTTTAGTAGGTATTTATGTTCTTTACTACATGTTCTTCTCTTAATTTATGTTTTAGAAACAGCAACCAAATGAAGAAGCGGCCTACCTCTGCAGTGGGGTACAAGAGACCCATCAGCCAATTCGCCCGTGTGGCTATGGCCATGGGATCTCATCCTCGATACCGGGTAAGTGAGGGAGCACTGCTGCGTGCCAGGGGGACAAGAAGTCATTGAACAAATGTGATGAATGGATGGATGAATGGATGGATGGACAGACAAACAGATGAACAGTGGGAGAGAAGGTGAAGTAAACAAGCCCATCATGATTTGGGGTACATCAGTTCAAGCTCCTGGCTTTATTCACCCACTTGGCAGGATTGGTGGCCATGCTTTCAGCTGGTCCATGAGCTGCTGGCTTGGTGGCTCTGACAGCTCCTGCTGTTCAAAAGGACAGGGCCATTCAGCCTTACCTGCTGATCTCAGCCTCAGGGAAGACCAGGAAGAGCAGAGCCATGAGCCTGAACCCCAGCGTGGAGCTTGCCCTGTGGCTGTGGCAGCCAGAGGGTCCCACTCCCTGGCGTGCTGGTCACCTTCTCTCAGTGGCATGAACTTGACAGAGCTGGTGCTGTGTTGAGACATGCGGTGACTCCTCACGTTGGTTTTCCCTTTGCCCTGTCCTACTGCAGGCTGAGAACATCATGTTCTTGGAGCTGGACCTCTCCCCTCCAGCTATCTTCGAGTTTGAGCGGAGCAGGGACCCGGCAGAGCAGGACCCCCGGGCTCTGCACCTGGAGAGGCTGATGCACCTGGACAGCCTCCTGGAGCGGCCAGTGGCCTCCCGGGTGAGGAAGTCCCGCTCCTGGTGAGTGCTGCTGGGGACCAGGGGGGACTAATTTGTGCTGCAGTGCAGCTGGGATGCTCCATGTGGGCAGCGCTTGGGCTGAGGGCAGGCAGAGGAGTCGTGGCAGAACTGCAACCCTGTTCCTTCTGGGGTTGAACCTGGCCATGAGCTGTTGGGGTGTCATCAGGTTTTAAAATGTGGCTGACATTGCTTTGGTAACAGTTGTAGGATGCGTATTAAAACAGGTGATATCATTATATCCATCCCAGGACAGGAAAGTCATGCATCTGTTGGGGCTGGTCCAGAGGAGGCCATAAAGATGCCCCAAGGGCTGGAGCACCTCTGCTATGGAGACAGGCTGAGAGGCCTGGTCTTGTTCAGCCTGGAGAAGGCTCTGGGGAGACCTTAGAGCAGCTTCTAGCGCCTAATGCGGCTGACAAGAAAGCTGGAGAGGGGCTTTTGACAAGGGCCTGTAGGGACAGGACAAGGGGGAATGGCTTTAAACTGACAGAGGGGAGATTGAGATCTGAGGAAGAAGTTCTTGTCTGTGAGTGTGGTGAGGCCCTGGCACAGGTTGCCCCAGAGAAGCTGTGGCTGCCCCATCCCTGGCAGTGTTCAAGGCCAGGATGGATGGGGCTTGGAGCAACATGATCTAGTAGAAGGTGTCCCTTCCTGGGGCACAGGGTTGGAACTGATCCCTTCCCATCCACACCGTTCCTGTGATTCTGATATATATGTATCTCAGATGCTGAGACACAAGGTATTGTCCTGCCCAGCATGTTAGTGACATCCTTTAGTTCTTCCTGTATAGCAAATGGCTGAGAAAGTGGATCTGGGGCAAAGCAGGAGGCAGGGGAAGGGGAAGGAGATGGAAACCAGGTTTTCTTTGTCCATCCAGGTGCCAGACGCCGCGGTCACTGCCATCCTCAACCACTCATGTCTCCCTCACCTCCAGCTCCCCGTGCGCCGCCACAACGCCAGCTCAGGAGTGACGTCCTGGACCCCTTGTCCCCTTGCACTGCCTCGCAGTGAGGACTGTGCCGCGCCGGCAGCCGAGGAGGGGCCCCAGCCGGCAGCATCTCCACCGGTCCCAGTTCGTCTTTGTCTTCAGCTACTGTGTGTGCGCGTGTGTTAGTGTGAGATGCTCACGAACAGCCCTCCGAGGCGAGGGGAGCTGCCCCCTCCTGCCTTCCGCCCCCTCCCCAGTCTGGATCTGTCACTTTATTTATTTAACATATTTATTTATGGAGTGGTTGATGCGCAGAGTCAGGAGGTGCGGTCGCACAGGAGGACAGCCAAGGCTGGCAGTGGGCACCACTCGGATGCTCCTCAGGTACGCTCAGCTCCCAGCCCTCCCCACCGGAGGACAGGGCTGGAGACACCACCAGGGTGCTCACCGTCGTGCTCTGCAGAGCAGGCAGGAGGGGGCAGAGGCCCCTCTCTGATGGCTGTGGCAGGTGGGTCAGCCCTGGACTCTGGTGCTGTGTTTGCTTTGCTGGATCCCAGGGATTTTGGTGATTTCAACAATGATTTGGAGACTTCCAGAGGGACTCTCCAGCCTGCATCAACACCAGTGGCAGCAGTGACATTTCATTGACTTCTGGGCATGGCTGTCATGCCAGGAATGCCAGCTCCATCCACAGGGAGAGCTTGCAGATTAACAAAACCAAGTCAGTCCTGGTGGTGCCAGGACTCTGCTCACCTGTGCCATGCTCTGGAGGTGGCTGGCCATGTCCCGTTCAGTTGCCGGACACCTGGCTTGCTCCCATCTCTGACAAAGTGGGTGTTTAACTCCTCGCAGCAACAACAGCAGATGGAAATCTCTGTCCATTTCTACCCACGCCTCCTCAAGACACACATCGTCTGGGGAGCGATGCTGCCTACATGAAGCCAGTGGTGACAGCATCCACCATCCTGGCAGCTGAAGAAATGCAGGACAAGGCAGTGATGCCCAGAGGAGTGATGCCAACATCACTCTCGTCGGGCTGGGTAATATGGAGGTCACCTTGTTGTTGGGAGGAATTTCCTGGTGCTGCATGGTTGTGGAGGGATGGATGTGAAACGGGTAATGGATAAGAGGGCAAGACATAACACTGCTCTGGCGATCTGAAACCCATCCCTGGCAGTAGCACATGTGGGTGCCAGGACATCATTCAGTGTCCCTGGGTCATTCAGCAATTCAGTTGAGGGAAGGCAGGTCCTCGTTGAAGACCATTCCTGTCAGTGCCAGGGCCAGCAGCTGTGGTTTCCCTGGGATGGCTTCCAGATGCACGGAGGTGGGGGAGATCCATTTGTTGACTACATGAGAATGAATGAGAGAGCGAGCCCCAGGTTCACATGGGAGGATGAGGGTCTTCACAAGGGTATGTGCTGAGGCCACTCCCTGGGACAGGGCTTTCAGCAACCTGGTCTAGTGGAAGGTGTCCCTGCCCATGACAGGGCACTGGAACTGGATGAGCTTTAAGGTCCCTTCCAACCCAAACCGTTCTGTAATTCTATGAAGACAGAGCTGAGAAGGTGGCAGGTAGGAACTGTCCTGTGGCAATGGACAGGGTTTACTCTGTTGGAGGACTGGTCACTGCTCACTTTGATGACTCCTGCACACAGGACGTGGGGTGAGGGCGGGAGAGGGGACAAGGCACAAGCACAGAGCAGGGCAGGTCCTACCCAACACGAGTATCCCATCAGTGTGCTCCACTTGTCCAGGCTGGGGCATCCGTAGACCTTCCCATGCATGTCCTAACACATCTCCTGCGCTGCTGCAGGCTATCTTCTCCCTGTTCTCTGTAACATTGTCCTGCCTCGTGTTCGTGATCATAGCCCTTTGCCACCATCTTCCCTTCCTCATCTGTTCCCCATAACACCTTCTGCCTCTCTGAATCCCTGTCCCACCCCAGCAGCTGGCTTGTGGGCTATTTTGGAGGCTGTAGGTTGCTCCCAGGACTGATCTCGCTCCCCTTGAGTAGCAGCCAGGTCTGGCTGTGCTCAGCCTGGGAAAGAAGGTGCAGGAGGAATGCCATTTAGGAGTGAGACATGGGTTGGTTCCTCATTCAGCATGGGTGAGGTCCTTCTGCCTGTGGGTATCACCAGCAGCCATGGGTTCTCTGTGTGCATTCCCCACAGCAAGCTGGCCTGGTCTCATGAAACACAGTGGATGAGAGAACCCTGGTTCCTTATTTGTTTGCCAGGTTAGTGTCTGGGAGTCAGGGTCAGGAAGCACAGACCTCAGAAAGCGGAGAAGCTGCCTGCAGCATGGCCTGCAGGAATGTATTTTCCTCCCTTTCTGTTTTGTAATTGCCCCAAGTTCACCTTCAGTTGGATCAGAAGCTCAAGGAGCCCCAGGGTGATGTGCTGGTGACAGTCTCTTTTACCTCCGTTCTCTACCCAGGGCATGGTAAACAAAGCCCAAGAGCTGATGGTGTCCCCTTATTGCGCCAGGCCATGGAGCATCATATCAAAGGAAAAATGTGCTCCATGTAGGTCTCCCATGGCATGTGTTGGTCCTCACCTGTGTCATGGCAATGGACAGCTCTAGGTCCAGTAGCACTGTGTCACAATGGGACTGTGTGGAAGCCCTTCTGGCTGAGCACAGGACATGTGTAGAAGCGCCTGGTGCAGGGGGTGGTATGAGCTGTTTTCAACATCCAAGTGTGGCTCTGACGTACCAAGAGCACGATCTCCCATGCGCTGGCTCCATCTCTCTCCACCGCTGCTAATGACCTCCCACCCTCCTTAGCACAAACCCTGAGGAAGGTTGTGAGCAGACGCTGGTGATTTGAGCCAAGACCGGGTGAGATCCCAGGGGTTTTCCCTCTGCCTCGGGTGGCTCTGCAGCCTCCCCGTGTCGCTGCAGCAACCTCAGATGTATATTTGTAATGATCTTCGGTGTTTGTATGTTGGTGCGTGTGTATTTACATATGAGTGTGTGTAGGTGTGTGTGGGTGCGTGCGTGTAGCCAAGGGATCTATTTACTGTCAACATGAGTGTACAGGGGGCAGATCCCTGGGGGGAGGCTGGGGCTGGGCTGGGGCTCTTTTATTTTTGCTGTTTAATTATTCAGTTATTTTGGGTTTCAGGTTTGGATGGGATTTTTTCCTTCAAGGGGGGTGGGTTTTGGTCTGTCTCAGATTGATTGACAAGGTGAGGGCCTTGATTAGGACCAAATTTTTGTGCCTGTTGCTCTGGTGATCTATTTAGAAATCAAAAGTTTACTGTATGGTGGCCCATCCTTGTCACTCTATACATAGGAATATACAGGACATATTATAAATATATATATATTATACATACCGTATGGAGCGAGGTCATTAATCTCACCCCCCTCTCTGGCTTTGGATGGACACCTCTTCAATATGCTGTAACGTAGCTTTGATCCAGTGCTGGGAATGACTGGAAAGCGCCAGCACCCTTCAAAAACTGGCAATGACACCAATAAAGGAATGAGCATCATTGCAAAGGGCATCTGCAGCCTCCTTCATCCGCAGCTCCAGCCGCTGGGAACATGCCAGCACCACAGTGCTGCAGCTGATGTGTTAATTGAAGTGCAGCTCCATGTTGTGTATGCTGCTCAGGGGGACCTCATGGGCTGTGTGTGTTGAGAGACAAGGATTTGGAATTAGGGCTTCTGCAACAGCACAAATGGGGGCACCAGTGCCCACCTGCCTGTATTTCTCTATATATTTCTAGTGGAGGCTGTCCATGTCCATGCCAAGTGCAAGGTCCTACACCTGGGTCAGAGCAATCCCAGGCACAGCTACAGAGAAGAGATTTAGAGCAGCCCTGCGGAGAAGGACTTGGGGGTGCTGGTTGATGAGAAAATGAACATGAGCCGGCTTCAGTGTGCGCTTGCAGCCCAGAAAGCCAACCGTATCCTGGGCTGCATCAAAAGGAGCGTGACCAGCAGGTCGAAGGAGGTGATCCTGCCCCTCTACTCTCTCGTGAGACCTCACTTGGAGTATTGTGTGCAGTTCTGGTGTCCTCAACATAAAAAGGACATGGAACTGTTGGAACAAGTCCAGAGGAGGGCCACGAGGATGATCAGGGGACTGGAGCACCTCCTGTATGAAGATAGGCTGAGAAAGTTGGGGATGTTCAGCCTGGAGAAGAGAAGGCTGCGTGGAGACCTCATAGCAGCCTTCCAGTATTTGAAGGGGGCTATAGGGATGCTGGGGATGGACTGTTCATTAGGGACTGTAGTGACAGGACAAGGGGTAATGGGTTAAAACTTAAACAGGGGAAGTTTAGATTGGATATAGGAAGAAGTTCTTTACTGTAAGGGTGGTGAGGCACTGGAATGGGCTGCCCAGGGAGGTTGTGAATGCTCCATCGCTGGCAGTGTTCAAGGCCAGGCTGGACAGAGCCCTGGGTGACATGGTTTAGTGTGAGGTGCCCCTGCCCATGGCAGGGGGGTTGGAACTTGATGATCTTAAGGTCCTTTTCAACCCTAACTATTCTATGATTCTATGCCAGGAGAGTTGAAACTAGAAGATCATTAAGATCCCTTCTAAGTCAAACCTAATTCTATGATTTCTCCCATTTTGTGTAAAATAAAGTGTTTGTACTGAAACTGTAATTTGCTGGAGGCTTTGATAAGACAAAGTCTAAGGAGCAAAAGCTGGTTTTGCTGGGTATGAGCACCTGCTGTACCTCTAAAAGGAAATTTATTAGCCCCAAGAGCACAGAGAGGCCCATGTAAAATCGGTGAGTTGATTTTGAGGCAATTTCGTTTAACATGCTCACTTATTTCATAGAACCATGGAATGGTTTGGGTGGGAAGAGACCTTAAGGGTCATCTACTTCCATTATGGTATGATTCTGTGATGATTCTATGGTAAGGAAGGGAGAAAGTTGGGTTTTGTCATATTCAGTTTATCTCTCCACTGCCGCCCAGGGCAGCCTGCGTGCAGATCAGAAGAGCAAGGTCCGGAGGTAGCACAGAGAGAATAAAGACAAATCAGAAGCATTGCCGTGCTGTCAGGAGCTCTACTTATTCTGAAGGAGCTCAGAAACTGTGCCTGAAAGGTGCAGAGAAGGGCAAAGTATTTTTCCACACCAACTGTAACTGCCAAAACCATTCTGAAATGTGAGCTTTGACAAGACACGTGGCATGGCCCAGGGGACAAGAAGGTGACTCGAGGCAGGTAAAAATGCTCCAGTCACCAGCACCACTCTTTCCTTGCAAGTTGTGCAGTGTCTGGTGATGTTACCATCTTGTGGGGTTTGATTTTCCAGAGCATCAGCCAGGAGAGCAGCTGCCGGTTTGGCTTAAGAACATGGATATTTTCTCCATCTTTGTCTCTATCCTGTCCTGCACACAGGCAATGGCAAGAGGGCACAAGGTTTGTGCAGCACTTTGATGCCCTCAGCTGCTGCATACCATGAATATCAATGATCCAAGTTCATCACATTTGCAATGCAGAAAATACCCAGGCGTGCCTGAGTTTTCCAGCATAGCTGGGGTTTGCTCCATGATTTGTTTACTTGGTCTTAGGGGTTGTTTTGTCTTTCTATGAATTATCTGCTGCAGTTTATCTGCTGCCAGCATTCAGTGGGTTTAGTAGCCAGGAGAATCTTTTCTCAGATCCAAGACCTCTCTGCTTCCCTAGAACAACTGTCCCTTGTAGTCCTAGGGGATTACACAGAACCCTGCAGTTTTTACAAGCATATTGAGCCACGTTATAGATACATGATTTGAAGAGCTGCGTCCCATATACTGACAGTTAAAAAAAGGTCATTTTTGACTGAAATCTAAAAAATTGAGGGTAAATTCACTATAGCAATTTTGGTTCCTTCCTCACTGCAGTTCATAGGACTTTTCCTGTCATAAATCTAAAATACAAGCCTAAGATTTGGTATGGCTCTATATGCCAATATTTACATTTTTCAATGATGGACACAAGTGAAAATCTGAGAGATGACAAACATCTGCACCCCACCTCTGAAGGAGAGTGTCCGTGGGGGCTTGTTGCCCCTCTGTCACCGCCGTGTCCAGGTGCAACGTATAAAAGTACATATGAGGGGACAAAGGGCCACAAGCATGGTACAAACTGAAAGATCATGAGATACAGCTGAACTATCAAAGATGTAACATGCACCATAGACACTTGAGTGGCCTGGCTGCACTGGTGAAGATCAAAGGCTCACAGATGTAGAGTAGCTAGTTAGAATTTAAATAAATCCTGACATAGCCCAGCGTGTTCAGATTCTCTTTGAAATGGAAACCCCTGTTGAAGACATGGGTTGAAAGAGCTGCAGAAGAACCAGCAAGAAGCTTGTGTAATTCTTAACAGAGGGGGAGTGGGATGCGATGAAGGCAAACGGCTACCAAGGCAAGGTCCACAGCATGCAACAACTACAGGTAATTCCTCCCTGAAGAGCATCCAGCTCTGCTTTCAAACTGTTAGGAGATGGTTTGAGTAGGCCCATGCTTGCTGGGCAGGAGTCATGGCAGAGCCATTGCTGCTTGCTGTGGTGTAAGACATGGGTTTGGAGTGGGGCACTTTGCAATAGATGCACTGGGTTATTCCACACTGTCCACTTACAGTGACTGCTGTAACTGGACAGCTGCAGAGCAGCTTCTGGTAACACTGGTCTCCAGACCAGATTCACTCTTAGAACAATGACATTCATGCGGTCAGTGATGTGGATTTAGGACTCTGTGTCTGAAGTAACTGGGTGCCAGGGTCATCAAAATGACATTTGTGCTGGGAAGGTCCGGGGGGTGACGTGGCCACACCACACCTCTGCCTCCCATGCCAAGGATAGAAGGATGTGTCCAGGGAGACTTATACAGCTCTTGGTCCCTCTTCTTCCTGCTCTCCTCTTGTCTGTGAAGAATGAAGCACCCAGACAGTGACATGTCCCCAAATGATTCAAAACACTTGGAGGTGTGGTTAAGATACGCAAGGAGAGCTAAAAAGCATGGTTTACCGAATGGTTTATCTCTCAATCTCATTCAAGAAAACCAGTAACATTTGCAGTTATTGAGCCTGGCTTCTCCTTCAGTCCCACCCTGTCACTCTGGATGGTGGTTGTAAAGATTCTGCTGTTCTCCCATGCCAGGTGAAACAAGGACCATCAGGACTCCTGGCTCTCTGGAAAGCTAATCTCTCCTGACCTTGCACCTGAGACATGGTGAGAAAGCTATTTTGAATCGCAATTTTGCTATTGCTAAAGCAGTGCTAAAGCTTATAATCATCTTTGTAAAGTATTTTGAGATTTACTTGTTATAAAAAGTTGCAAATGAGCTAAATGGTTTTTACTCCTGAGTAGAATTTAAAAGTATTTCAGCACAGGGATGCCTACAGCCACTACAAATACGTTGCATGGACTTCCCAAGACAAAAGCTGTGCTTGCTTTCCAGAAAGCTATTTTGGGCTTGATTGTTTTGTTAGGTTTTGGGTTTTGGTTGTTTGGGGTTTCTTGCTGTTCCTTGATGCTCCGATGACACCCTGTGGACTTTTCCCTGTACTACTGCAGCTGTGCAAAGACCCGACGATTTCATTCTTTTTCTCCCAGTGGTTCTTCTACTCTGTTTCCCTACATTTTTCTCTAGTGACTTCTGTTCTTCAGCCTGTTAACTCAGTCCTGAATAGCTGTTAGCAGGGGAGCCATGGCACTGACGTTATTTGGCATACACTGCTCCTGTGCATTGCTGCCTTGCTAACATTTGCTGGCTTGCAACTACATGGTGGGGTGACCTAGTTCCCTCCATGACCAGCAGAGCTCCAGAGCACATCCTGAAATGCAGCAGCAGGTTTGAGGTGTTCCAAGTGACTTGTCCACTGAGACTAGAGTGATTTGAGACCCCCTCCACAATGAATATCCCCACAATGAATATCCCCAGATTTAGACTCTGTCTGGAAGAATATACTTGTCCTTTGTCCCCTTGATCCCAAGTTCTAAGCCAAAAGAAGGATGTATTGCTTACTTGTGGCTGTTCTGCCTTAAAGCGTGTTGCCTATATGCTTATTCACATTGTGGGTATCCTCACAATCAAAAGCTGATCCTTGAGCAATGTTGGTGCAGGCACATAGCAGCCATTTGCTTCCCATGCCATTCTCATGTGTACTCTGGAAGTGCTTTCCCTCAGCACCAGAAGGGATATTAAAGGAAGGAAAAAAGTAGGAATTAAACTTTCTTTCTCCTGAGAGATCTCTGAGTGCTTGTCTCCATCTGAATTCTCACTATCAGTGTGAGCAGAACCACTCAAAAAACACCACACGGCTGAAAGAGAGCATCAGAGTCTTCAGAGGACCATTCTTCCAAACCTGGAAACATGGAGAAAGGTATTAGGCCAAATTAACATATGAACAGAGTTTGAGGTGGCCATGCTACAGAGCAGAGACACCCGCATAACATATGTGAAAACACCAGACCTAGGTGTGGGCATTTTAGGGGAATAGTCAATATTTTGACAAGGTGAGATTCAGACTAAAGCTTGGATGAAAACTTAGGTTGAATTTTATCAGAATATTGTACCAAAAGACAGGAACAGAAGATTCAGTCTTACAGATTTGGATCATTCTTGTCAGCTCATCAGTGGTGATAGCCATCTTCCAATAAAGACAGAAAGTCTTTATTGTCAAAATATTGAAAGTCAAAATATTGTAAGATGAAGATGGCAAATAGCCAAAGGCTTGCATGACAGCTTCACTGAGGAAATGATACTAGGCTCAAACACCTCCAAGGAATTCAGCGTGTAATATGGTCAACCCTGTGAAGGAATATCAAACTTGTAAGGATGGAAGAGTATTTTAGTCCTAACAGTAATTTAAAACATTAGATGGAATAAACAGAATGGAGGCCATTGGCATGGATGCTCATCAGGAAGTCATTCCAGCCCTTTTAGTTAGATGTCCACTGGAATGTTTCCTGCTCAAAAAAGCATGCAGCACCCTCCTGTGAGCCATTGGAAGATGCAGAGACATGAGATGAGCAGCCAGTCAGCAGAATTCCCAGTGCAGCAGAGATTTCATGGCACTGAAGACCAAAATGATTAGTCACATTGCTCCACACTTTATCCCTCAGATAACTTTGAAAGAGAAATGCAGTACATCAACTTCCCCCACAAAGGAGAAACAACACCCCTGGGAGGCCTGTGGAGCCTGGCTCTGGAGTCTGCCCTTCCTCTTTCTGTGCAGGGTGAAGGCGGACAGGAAAACTCCAGCTCCAGAAGACAGGTCCTGTAATCCAGCTGCATGAAATGACCCATCTGCTAACACGTTCCAGACTCCAGACTGCAGAAAGTTGCACCTGGCGCTTAGTGCATCACTTCCCAAGGAAAGGGAAATGAAGTTTACATCCTTTTTGTGGAAACAGAATAAAGTGATCTTATTGTTTCTTATCGCAGATGCCAATCTTTTGTGCATGAGTGAAACGCCAGACCTGCTCTCAACAGTGCCCGTTTTCAAGGATGCTGGTGCATCTTGTATCACAGGTGAGATCACCAGCTCTGAGCTTTTATACCATCAGAAATGAACTCACACCCAAGTGTTAAAGCACATTCATGGTCATTTCAGATCGTGGAAGCACAACAAAAGTCATTCCATTGCATAGTTAGTTCTGCACTTGCACTTGGCAAAGACAGCTGTGATTGTCTGAAGGAGAATGTGATTATTAAATGACATTATACTAAACAGAGTGAAATTTATAGAAGCATAGACTCATGGAATAGTTTGGGTTGTAAGGGACCTTAAAGTGCTTGCAATTGCTCTGACCCAAATGCAGGACTTTAAACTTAGTCGTGTTGAACTTCATGAGATTCAGACACACAGCTTGGTGTCATCAGCAAACTTGCTGCAGCACACTCAATCCCACTGTCCATGTCACCAAAAAAGATGTTGAACAGCGCCTGTCCCAACACTAACTCCTGAGTAGCACCGTTCATCACTGATCTCCACTTGGACATCAAGCCATTGACCACAACTTGTGGAGATCAGGTAAAGTCTCCCATGAGGAATCAC